AATATATATATACTTCAACGTGTCAATCGATCCGACCATCCACGATGGCAGTGCATACATTGCTGCCATATTGGTGGATAAAATGAAGGTGAAAAGACCACTGACATACACAAACTTGGAAATGCAGCACACGCAGAGCAACCATAACGATTGATATCAGAAGTGGATCAATAGTTGACAAAGCTATGCAATAAAGATACGGAGAACTGCGATAAGAATGATCACTATAGGTGCATTGCAATCAGTGATTTTACTAGCAAACTAGGGTTGTTAATATTTAAAAATGAAGGGGACAGTATCTCTGATCCTGAGATGAACAACCCACTCAAGATGGGTACGTTCCCCAAGTGGCCAGTCAACAAGTATGTCAGCATATCAGACTGTCGCTACACAATAGAATTTGTGTCTGTTGTGAAAGATCTATTCTCGAGCAGTAGCATGCCCTTGGTACAATACCACTCACTAGTACAAGAGTTGTTAAGACAAACTGACGCGATTGAAGTATCGAGAACAGCACTCACAAAACTGCGGAATTTCCAATAATCGTGGAAGATGTCGAGGACTGGAATATCTTTTTTTTCGGCAATTTGCGCAGAACCCCAGTAACCCCAGTAAATTACTTGCTGGAGAAGTGGCTGAACGGCTTTCGTGACAGCAGAATGAATGTAGAGGTGCGAGCAGAACGCTTGTGCTTAAAATGCGCTATAAGAACACTGCAAAAGAACCCATCAATCTGCAACTTCTCAAAGCCTCACGTTACTTGTCACTGGCGATTTACGGACAGCAAGCGCAACCAGGTAGACTAATCTAAGCGCAAACCAAGCCTGGCAGGAGTAGTGGGCATTTGTCTGCGTATCAGAGAAGGTTTACTATAAACTCACAGAATATCTGTTCAGACAATCAATCATAGCACAAGCTGACTGCATTCGAACATAACGCAAACGTGTTAGAAAGTAGCTAGTCAAGAACCTCGAGGACAACGTCCAAAACTTGACAATATAGGAGGGGGTTCACTGACAGGAGGGGTACCACAAGGAGAAGGTCAAGGATGAGGCCGTCCCATAGCACAGGAAATAACAACCCAACACAAAGAGGGCTAGGGCAATGCCGGCAATTCGGTGCAGATCCCTCACCTCATGCATTCAGCAAGTGTCCTAAGAGGGAATGAAATAAATAAGAATATGATTTATCTCGTGCAGCAAAGTAATCTCAACTTGTCCACGTGGGGAAATTAGCCATCACCAAAGGAAGCAAGATACAAGTATTGGACGAGATACGCTGACATGGTGGATATTGTGAATGCACACACATAAATGCAAATGACATCGCTTACACATCTTTTTTATTTTTTATTACCCACGAGGCCAAGGTTCACACATAGACATACAAATCAATAGAAATACACACAATACATTTATATATTTAGGAGCCCAACGCTCATGCAAGGACCGAAGTGTATTAACTGAGACATACCTGGCAGTCAAAGCGCAACCAGGCTACATTCAACTAGAACAATCCGATGCGCGAGTACAACGTACAGGCTCAGCAGAAGTATGTGATACAATATGGAAAAAGAATACCATTTAATTGCTTGATGTACTCGACCTCCCAAACAAAAAAACATCTATATGTCACACTGGGTATGGACATCCTACCGTATCTGGGCATATACCTAGCAAGTATAATAAATGCACTTATACCAACTGATGCACAATGGGAATCACTTCGCATACCACATGAAGAAGACCCGGAACATGAGCAAGAGAGTCTTCGGGAATCGTTGTCGGACTTATTGGACCAAAATGCAATGACCCACTCGATGTGTACCGCAACCTGCTTGGGTCAGTATTGGGAACACCGAGCGAATAAATCAATGACAAGCAATGATACATGATAAGGTAAAATCGTACCACACAAGTATATACCACAAACAGAAAACCCCGTTCAGAAATGATTATGTGATGGACGCATATTCAAAGACTCAATGCCAGTCCCTCATCCCACGACTTTTACCTAGTTCAGAGAATTGCGATCAAAATAAGAAGTCTATTGTTTTCTTTGGTCGTAGCCTATCAGCCACTCTCAAACTCTACACTTGTCCACTCGCACTCACCTCAGTTCACGCCTGTAATGTAGTAAGCATTTGTTCCCGTGCAATTGTTTCATCATTGGTGAGAGTACCTTATCGTTTCCCTCAGTTTGTGGGTTCCCAGCCAAATATGAAGTTGAAACAAAACTTGCGTGTGTTTATAGTATATAATAGATATTACAACAAACCTTTTACATGAACGGAATTAGCTCAGTGGTAGAGTAGTAGATTGCAAATCTATTGGTCGCTGGTTCGAACCCGGCATTCCGCTCTAACATTTTTCAGTCGCTCTCTCACTTTTTTTTTTTGGATA